TTTGTTTAAACAGGCCCTTCAACAACTGAGCTAGTGGGTGGGCCCCATTCCTTTCTGCAATTGTTTCTTTATTTCAGACACTATTATTTCAGAGATTTCAGGTGTGTGATTTCCAATTTCTTCTATCTATTGTCTCCTGCATTTGTTTTGGGTTCGCTCGGGCCCTGAGAATGCATTTTGCTCCTTCTCTTTGTCATTTTGTATAGCACTGTCTTCTGACCTTTGGTGTAGAACTTTGGTGCAGTTATTGCCTTACCACCGGGTCTGGATCTACCAAGTCCTAACTCGTCCAAGTGGGTGTGGTTTGGGTCTGGCTATTGTTCTCCACTTCTTGCTGTAGCCCTTCGAAGTGAATTCTCTGTGCCACTCTGGCAAGATGTTCTCCTGGATCAGCTGGATGGGTCTTGCCTCTAGCCTCTCTGCAGGGAGTTCTGCTGTAGAGTTCCACGCCAGACCTGTCTGGTGGAGGAAGTTGCACACACACACACACATGCCTGGCCTGGGTGCTGGCTGGAATGAGGATCCAGTAGGTCCTGGGCAGGCCCACTCACACACCGGGCCTGGGTACTGTCTAGAATTAGGATAGATAGATTAATCAATCTATTTGATCAATTGATCAATCTCTCTCGTGTTTTTTATTAGCATGTATTTGCAGTACATAAATTTACAATGAATGTAAATTCATGGTGGGGCATTGGTACATATACATTGCCATGTGTTCTTTTAGTGCGTTTAATGGCTTTACTTTTCTATCTTTGATCCATTTAGAATTTATTCTGGTGTTCAGAATGAAGTGTAGATTTAACTTTTTCCATCTGGTTACTGGTTATTTTTACACAGTTTTTTTTTTTTTTACACATGTTTTAAGAACTTTTTTTTTTTTTCCCCAGACATTGTCTGTCTGTATAATTGAGGCTGGTCTTGAACTCTCTGTGGAGCCTTGAACTTGCGTCAGTTCTCCTGCCTCAGCCTCCCAAGTACTAGGATTACAGGTTTGTGCCACTATATTTGAGTTAGACTTACATTGTATGGATTGTAAACTTCTGTATATGTTGGGGCACATCTCTGGACTTCAGTTTTCTGTTTCTCTATTTGTTCTAGTGATACATTATTGATTTTAGAAAATTTTAATATCTTTTTAATCTAGCTTCTCCTTGTTCTTCATTTTCTTGGCAGTTCTTATTTTTTCCATGTGAACTTTAGAACTATTTTCTCCAAAAAAAAAAAGAACTGTTTTGTCCAGTTTG